AGCTTGAATTATGGCTTCCATGTCTCTTATCTTTTAGGTCATCTGCAGATTATGCGCTTAAAGTTACACATGTAGCTAATTATAAAAGGGGCGGAGGACTATGATCCACTTGATTATGTGGCTGATGCTAAATGAAGCACACTGTATAGCTTATGAATGGCGACGAAGCTCACTTAGTCATGGTGATGATGACGGCCCCATCCTAACAGGAAGCTGTTAATCAGTGAGACAGAGGAGGCAAAGCTAAGCCACTGGCTCTTTGCTATGATATAAGGAGTTCATATAGGCTTCATTTTTCTCATTTATTCTCTGAAATCCACCCAGGAGTGTGGCGTTGTAGTATTAGGGGTATGAGTTTCTTATCTAAAAGAGGCTGCTAGTCATCAAAGGCTTTGTGGCCTGAAACCACATAGGCAGCTATGCATTAAATTGCTAATGCGCCCGGCAGAGCTACGTTATCCGTCCCATCGACGTGACAAGGGCATGGATGAAACAATCCGTTCAGCTGTCCATGAGATCAATGGAAAATGGGTTTTGTGGATTTTGCTTGGCAGTGTGAGGCGTCGTGTCTTTAGAGACCTTTCTTTGAATTGGCTTTGTTTATGCTTCGCTGATTTGACAATTGCTGAACAACAGGGCTGAAGTGCATGACCAGTTCCATCTACTTCCTGGGTGTCTCTGTGGGAGAACTCTCACACCTGCTGATTTGATTTTACCCTTTCCTGCATTCTGGGGTTGGTTTAGTTTTTTTTTCTCAGTATATCTACGGAACAAGTCCCTTATGTGTTCACACTTATAAGTTTTAGATCTTATCACCTGCATGGATGTGCTGTATGTTAATGAAAAAAGCTGAATTATCATTTCCCAAACTCTGAAATAAGAGACGCTCTTCTCTGTTCAGCTAAAGGGTTGATCTTGGTGTTGGTACCTCAGAACTCGGGTTGTTGAGGAATTTGATTGCCAGGAAAAGCCTTAAGGAAAAGGACTGTTTGCAGATGTTCTAATTTTGAGGACCAACTTATTATTTTTTCATATATACACAAATGATGAACTTGAACAACTTGATTGCTTTAAGAAGTAGGAGACCTACACTCACCGGCCACTTTATTAGGTACCCCATGCTAGTAACGGGTTGGACCCGGTTGCCTTCAGAACTGCCTCAATTCTTCGTGGCATAGATTCAACAAGGTGCTGGAAGCATTCCTCAGGGAGTTTGGTCCATATTGACATGATGGCATCACACAGTTGCCGCAGATTTGTCGGCTGCACATCCATGATGCGAATCTCCCGTTCCACCACATCCAAAAGATGCTCTATTGGATTGAGATCTGGTGACTGTGGAGGCCATTTGAGTACAGTGAACTCATTGTCATGTTCAAGAAACCAGTCTGAGATGATTCCAGCTTTATGACATGGCGCATTATCCTGCTGAAAGTAGCCATCAGAAGTTGGGTACATTGTGGTCATAAAGGGATGGACATGGTCAGCAACAATGGGGCCCAAAGAGTAGGGATGGGGATCGAAACCCGGTTCTATCAAGGACCCGGTTCCAGTTTTTTCAAAACCCGAAAATCAATAACGTTTGGGCTTATCGATACCACTATCGAGTCTGGTCTTTTTTTTTTTTTTCCCGGAGGTCCTGTAACATAATTGTGTGTCCCTCGAGTCGCGTCACAGCATTTAAATCTAATCAATCCAATCACTGCAGCATGTCTACCAATGTTTTGGAATGAAATTGTAAGCAAACAGATATTAAAAGTAAAACAAGTGAAGTCTGGCAGTTAACTTTGCTCGCAACTCGAGAATGGCTGAACGGAAAAGACTCCTCCTCCTCCTGCTGCTGCCCCGCCGCACCACAGTCGGGCCCGTCTTCATCATCCACTCAGAGAACCACTGGTTAGCGCGCACACAGACTTTGTAGCTTGTCTGGTCACTTAAAAATGGTAATTGTGAAATCCGTGTTGTAATCGGCAGCATACAAGCTAGTTAGCTTAAAAAGTAAATAAAGTTTCAGACGTGCTGCGTGATGATGTGTTCAGGTTGGCTCAGTAAAACGACAATTAGGTTATCATGATGCGTTCAAGTGTAACGTAAAGAAAAGGGAAATTGAGTTTTTGGCGAGAAACATGAGTAATACAGTTGTATATTGCTGTAATTATTTTACAATATATAATTAAACTACTGATGCCAACATTTATTAAAAATTACATTTAATTTAAAATAAAATTATTTATTTGATAAATATTTTCCTAATCTCTAAAAACCTGATGAAAAGTGACAGACATGTTAATTTTTCTGCAAAAAAATACCTGTTAATTTATGGGCTGATATTTTATTTCCTTTTTTTCTGACACAGCATATTATTCATTTAATTTATATACATTATGACATTTTATTTTTCATTTGGTGCTGCTGATATATTCTAGTTAGTTTTATGTCATTTAGAAGTGGCCTATTACATTAGCCATGTTTACTGAAGGCTAGAAACTTTTTTGTTATGCTCACTTGTTAAGCAATAAAAGCAATACCAGTTCTGTTAAAAACATATTGTCGCATCGTCTTTCCACCAAATAACAGAAAAGTATCGATAGTGGTATCGATAAAGACTCGGATCGATAAGGAGTATCGATAAAGGTATCGATATCAATAAATATTAACGATCCCCATCCCTACCAAAGAGTGCCAAGAAAATATTCCCCACACCATGACACCACCACCACCAGCCTGAACCGTTGATACAAGGCAGGATGGATCCATGCTTTCATGTTGTAGACGCCAAATTCTGACTCTACCATCCTAATGTCGCAGCAGAAATCGAGACTCATCAGACCAGGCAACGTTTTTCCAATCTTCTATTGTCCAATTTCGATGAGCTTGTGCAAATTGTAGCCTCAGTTTCCTGTTCTTTGCTGAAAGGAGTGGCACCCGGTGTGGTCTTCTGCTGCTGTAGCCCATCTGCCTCAAAGTTCGACGTACTGTGCGTTCAGAGATGCTCTTCTGCCCACCTTGGTTGTAACGGGTGGTTATTTGAGTCACTGTTGCCCTTCTATCAGCTCGAACCAGTCTGGCCATTCTCCTCTGACCTCTGGCATCAACAAGGCATTTCCGCCCACAGAACTGCCGTTCACTGGATGTTTTTTCTTTTTCTGACCATTCTCTGTAAACCCTAGAGATGGTTGTGTGTGAAAATCCCAGTAGATCAGCAGTTTCTGAAATTCTCAGACCAGCCCTTCTGGCACCAACAATCATGCCACGTTAAAGTCACTCAAATCACCTTTCTTCCCCATACTGATGCTCGGTTTGAACTGCAGGAGATTGTCTTGACCATGTCTACATGCCTAAACGCACTGAGTTGCTGCCATGTGATTGGCTGCTTAGAAATTAAGTGTTAACGAGCAGTTGGACAGGTGTACCTAATAAAGTGGCCGGTGAGGGTATGTCATATGTCTTCCCCCTCTTTCTAAACCTCATTTCCTGTCAGCATATTGTCAAATAAAGGCCACTATTTCCAGGTACACAAGAAAAAAAAAACAACCAAACTTCCTATTTTCAATCTTTATAGAATTGAAGTATTAAAAAAAAGGATGCGGGGTTTAGTTTCTTTGTTTGAATGAATGGTTGCATTTTGCTGCTTTATGTTTTCATGCAAAGTAAAATTGCAGCAGCTTTGTAACATAGTGGAAGCAGCATACTATCATTTTCAGGAGATGGGGAAGTTTTATGCAGGAGTAGCTTTAAACAATTTATTTAAACTCCAAACATCTCAGGGAGCCTGGTGGATTCCCACACTCTTAGACTTCTGGAGCAGAACTCCTCAGCCAACGCATATAAGGAGTTTTGCTAAGAAAATGAAAATCTATTTTGGATATAAATACTATCGACTCTTTGCATCACCTTTAACTTCCCCCCTTGTGAAACACTGATACCATAGTGATATGAGGAAGTTGCTCTTCAGCAGGGACGAAGCATTCAAAGTCTGCATTGAGTTAAATATCCACCGTTTGCAAGGCTCCATTTATGCAGTGTTAGTTCTTAATTTTGACTTGCTTAAAATCAGATAAGAGTCAGACTTTTTAGAGATGAACAGCAGCTTGATGTATTTAGTGCAACGTTGCCTCATGGGACGATTAAATAAGACTACCTTATTTGATGAAAAATGAATCAAAGAATTTCTGTGGGGTAAAACAGCTTTTTATTCACACAAGGTTATCATGTTCACTCTTGTACTGCGCCCAGGTAATTGGCTTATAGCCGACTTCTCAGCCTCGCACATGGAGTCTTTCGCACCATTCATTTGAGCCTGTGATTGAACCACAATGCATCTCAGGTTAATTAGCTGTGTGGTGGAGAAGCTGCCCCTGAGAGTTCAGTCTGGAGTTCTGCAGTTCTCCTCGGCAGCAGTTTTCTAAAGACTGTCAGCGCTTTCTCTTGGCTGTTTGACAGCGTTCCAACCGCCTCGGCTTACCTCAGCTACAGCCGGAATTGGGTCCTCTTTAAGTGGGATTTCTGATATTTATTCCTGGATGCTGATTTAATTATTCAGTTAGGGGTAACCCTGAGACCTGTTGTGTTTATCATCTCCACATACCATTGAATTAAATGATCTGAGCAGTCAGCAGGAATTTTTTTTTACCCGTCCTCTTTTTTTTTTTTTTTTTTTTTTTTTTTTTTATGAAGACACTGCAGAATTGAAGAAAAATACTAAAATATATAAAAACATATGTATACAAACCAAAGCCTCAGCTGGAAGTGGTTGGCATCACAACAAAGCCTGACATTGTGAATTGAGAACTTTCTTGTCGTGGCTCATACAAGTCAAAGGAGCTTAACATTCCTTAGATCCTTTTTAAAATCTGTGTATAAAATATCCTCTCCATTCTATTGTGTTTTTCGGTTTTTACTTTCATCTGTGTCTTTGACAAATTGATCTGAACGCAGCATGCCATCTTCATTTTGCATTATAATAAACCATCCCTGTTTTCTGCTTTTTGCTGCTTCAGGTTCAACTACAGATCAACGCACCATCTCACCACAAATGGCTTCTACGAGTTCCTCAACTGGTTTGATGAAAGGGCCTGGTACCCCCTGGGCAGGATTGTTGGAGGAACAGTAAGTGTCTCTTTGAAACAAATCAATCCAGCTGTAAAACCGGGCTTTTCTTCTTCTGTTTATTGCATCCATGGCTGCATTTAACAATGCTCATAAAGTAGCTGGGTTTTTTTTATGCCCTGAATGTGTCATGCTGGTGAAAATAGGCTCAGATTTGCTGGGTTTATGTGGGAATGAATGAGTTTGAAATTAAAATCTTAAAAATCTGCTTGATAAAGTAAACATGTTACATGTTTAGGTGTATCATAAAGTTGTTGCAGTATTACTAACACTGCCAAACGTGTTTGAACAGCCAGGGTTCCCATAGTGTCTAGAAAAGTAGGTCATTTGAAATCAGTATTTTCATTTCCAGGCCTGCTTTGAGTATGGAAAAGAGAAAATGAGTGTTGGAAAAATATAATATTTCCAAACAATATAGATTACCCAACTGTTTAAACTGTATATAATATAGTGCATGTTCCTTTCTCCCTCCTTCCTATATGCATATTATTATTTTTCTTTCTCTCTTCTCTCTGGAAGTCTCTCTAAATCCAGCCTGAAATGCTTTGGACTATGGTTTTGGCCCCAGCAAAGTGCTGTTAGTTAAGAACGCTACATTTGGTTAATGGCTAAGCTCAAAGATGTTACTTTTCTTTGCTTTAGTAATTCATGATTTCTTAAGAGCCTTGCTTTCGACAACAGTTTATTAGCTTTACACAGTTATAATAGCCTGCCACTGCTTCTTTTGTCCTTGTAAAATACCACAAACCATTTTTATTGATACACTGCACACTATTTTGGGATATTTATTTTTCAACAAAGTGCTCTATAGGGAGCTTTTTTGTTGGTACAGAAACACATTTTTAACCAGGCCAAATGGTGTGTTGTTTTGTTTCATTTCTTCTCATAGAAGCAATGACAAAATAAAAGCTGTTTTTTTTTTCTCTGTGAAAATGCCTTCAGACATATAAGTATTGGAACCAATTGAAAAGGCACAAAAAGCTGCAAATATCTTTGAAAGGCTTGAAGTGGTATTGGACAAAACCAGATTGAAGTGTTGCTTCTTAAAATGAGTGAATGGGTCTGGCACGTTTCACTCAGTTGAACAGCAAAGTAACTGCAGAAATTATTCAGGAAACATTTTAAACCACCTGGTTCTCTCAGCTTCTAGTAGCACTTTAGTGTTGGATCAAATCTGAACCATCATTTCAAATTGATACATTGACTCGAAGGCAATCCCTCACACCAAGCCTGCTTGTAGTGACAGTTGAGAGGAAAAATTCCTTTTACCAGGAAGAAACCTCCAACAAAACCAGACTAGACCAGGCCATCTGCCAAGGCTGACTGGAGTTCAAGGATACGGAAGAAGACGTACAGAAAGAAGCAGATGCAAAAGGCAACTGTCGACCAGCTCCACAGGAAAAATCACACAGCCAGGCAGATGAGCTCTTAAGCCAGCTCCCATGACTAAACTGGAAAAACAGGCCAAGATCCAACATCTATACAAAAAGGTGTTAATGGCAGCAGCACAGCTATTTCTCTCCAGGATGGTGTCACAGCCAAAAAGGAATGGACAAGATGAAATTAAACTCTGCAGAATGGGTGAATAGAGATCAAATTAAGCAAAATGATAAAAAGGAGTCCCTATGTCCTCCAGCGGTCTAAGCCTATAGCAGCATAACTATATCAGCCAGAGTTAAAAGTTGGGCACAAATTGGTCTACCAAATGGAAAGAAACTCTAAGCATACTAAAATTAGGACGTTGTTGTCTGCTTTATGAATTATAATGAATGCGAAGAAAAAAAAAAAAAAGTTGACATGAAGTGGTAAAGTACGCATAAGCTTTGGGGGAAATGGAAAATAAAATCTGTCAATCCCAGGGGAAAAAGGTCAGGTTTTGCCTGTTTGGAGTCACAGAGAGCAAGTTTGACAGAATAGGAGATAACAATCAATACGATGTTTTAATAAGCATAGCTCTTTACCCAAGATGGATAAAGTAAAATGGTGATCATTGAGAAAAAACAAAAAAGGAGTGATAGTACAGGACACGTGCAGTTTATCACGCTCCTCTCTCTATGAAGGGGGGAGAAAAAAAAGCTTTGGCGAACTTTACAGGTTGATCTTAGAATCACGCCTCACTGCCGCCCAAAATTACCTAAACCGTTCCTCAGCCGTGTTTTCCTTTAATAATTCCTATTATATTTTGTATATAATAGAAACTGGTGTGACCTGGGCTTAAGGAGCTCGTGAAACCCATCACAGGGGCAACGCACAGACATACAACCATTCGCGCGCACTATTTTTTTGAAGCAGCAAGCATTCAGACAGCATGCAAACTCCACACAGAAAGAAACTAGGCCAGGATTCACACACAGGACCTTCTTACTGTAATACAATTGTGCTACCAACTATCCCCCTCATTCAACCCCTTGACACAAATTAAGTGAAAAAAAATTTAACTAATAAATACAAAGCGAATGTATGTAAACTTCTGAGTTTAAAGAAATGCAAAACCATACTTTACTGGATTCCAGGACATGGAAATAGTTTTGTTGAATGCAAAACAAGAGATGTTAGGCTTGGTTTGTCATTGGCTCTGGGGCTTATTTTGATATTGAAGGTATTCCAGGTGATTTCCGGATAGGTTTTCTGTGCACCATGAGGGAGATGTTTGAGCAATTCTCCAGGTTTAACCAATGAAACCAAGGCGGAGTATAAACCGCCTCCAGACATCATAAATTGAAGTCAGGTTCCAGTTGCGATGTATTAACCGGCCAGATTCCCCTTGGCTCTCACTGCGTCCCTGCTTACCAGCAACCATTACTGTGGTGAATGTCAATCTGGTGTTTTTCTTTTCATCCTCGCCGTCCTCTCTGTAGTTCCTGACATCAGCTGAACAAGCCGTGAGGCTCATCTGCGTTAAATACTCCAGGTCCAACCGTCTCCCTCCATCTATTACCACACCACCTGCTTCCTTTTCTTCCAGCCACGTTTCATGGACGCGGCGGGGTTACGCTCTCAAGCTCTAATTGCACTCCTTAATGATGTAGCAGGAGTTTATAATCTAAAGTCCTCAGTGTGAGGTAAAAGTGAGAATGTTTCCCAAAGTGTTGGCACCACTGAGTCCTGCTCAAATAATGAGACGGAGTCTTGTGACCCGACTCTCCTGATTCATTCCCTCACAGGGAGATGGTGTAGGCATCACTGAGCTGGTGCTACTTTGTAACAATTAGATATAGATACGCTATACACAGATGTTTTCCCCAAGCGTATGAAAAGCTCAATAGAACTTGAATGCAATATCTCCTCATTTGTTGTGAGCATTTATAATCAGCTGCTGGTTGTACACAAACCCATCTAATAATGGATTTATTGGTTCTGTTACAGTTCATGGCTACTTGGTTTAGATCTTTGTTCCCACAGGGCTCAAGCTGAAACTCATGATTAAACAAGTAATTAGAATTAGAGCACGTTTAGTCCCAACTTAATCTCATGATATTTGCACACCAGCTTCTCCGACCGTTGATCTGTTTTGGCTCTGCACTGTTTTATTCACGTGCATCTAATTTCTTCTTAGAAAGAATGACTGAATAATTTAGACATTAATCACGTGAAGCAGATTAATTTCTGTTGAATGGAGCTCTGCACAAATTGATTTCAGACTTAATGGTATTTTCCTTTATTTTCTCTTGGACATGGACATACTATAAAACGGCTTTCATTGATTCAGACCTGGACCTTGAGCTTAATAGACGACTGTCGCTACATTCTGTTTATCAGTAGCTAGCTTGTTAGCTTTTTTTTTTTTTTTTTTTGGATGACACTGTTAACAGACGTCTATCTTATGCCTTGAAGAGGTTTTAATGTATTTTGGTTTTAGACGAGGACTTGTCTCATGACTGATCTAGATCATTTGGGAAAAATGGAATTTGTAGATATCAAACCTTATCCAATATTGGATGAAAGTGGATATAATTATTGCAGATTTTAATGCTGTGAAGTATAAAATATTTCATCAGTTTTTTTTATTCCCTTTCAGTATTAAAGAATCTAGACTTCCCAGTGGTACAGAAATAAACATGGATTCATCAAAATCCTAAACTAAAAAACCTGGTAATGAACTTTGCATGATTTCATACAATGAACTCGATTAAAAACAGTGACTTATTTTATGTTTTCCTGCACAAAATCAAAGGACAGCTTGCATTGAAAGTGCTGTAAATTAGAGGACCGCTAAGATAGGAACATTCAAAGTATTTCAGTTTATCAGGACGTATTGAAATATCAATATGAGATGATTGTTTAAACATCATTTTTAATTGGTTACTTCATGTTCAATCATTACATCCAGGAAGGATTAAACATGCTTTAATACTTGCATCAATTTACATAAAAACGTTCAAAAGCACTTTGATTTTAATTCTAAAAGTAAAATCTCATGGTGAATGAAGACTTTGCATTATGTCGTTTCTTCATCCTAACTGGGGGTCATGCAGTGTCACCATCAAAATTGTAGTTCGATCTCTTTTGAGTTGAACTTAATAAGCTAATACAGATGTATTTTAATACTGTAAACAATTATAAAGTCTGTTATCTTTGTGTTTGAGTACTTGGTTTAAAGCGAAGTCTAAAACATCTGAATATAAAAAGGTCTTCTAGTTCTTGGAGTTAACTTGGCAGAAGTGACACACCAGATGGTGAGTCGCATTTTATCTTATAGAGTTTGCAGACATTTTAATGCCAGGCAGGAGGGTCATTCTGTTTGTTCATACTAAATGCAAATGTCTGTGTAACATGCAAATCTATGCAAAGTCGTAAAACATCCAGGTGATGCTGCATAAAGATGTAGCAAGGCCGATAAAAACGCATAGAGCCTAAAGTTGACATTAAATAGAGTTCAGGTTGGGTGATGTGAAAATATTTAACTTTTTGATCATTAAGCTCAAAACAGAAGAATCTGATGAAGTCCTTTTTAATTTTTCAGACTTGAAGGTTGACCGTTGCAGTCCAGTCAAATGAGA